ACTTTCAGAACGATGCTACACATTAGTTGCAATTAACAAATCGTTTTATATTGCCTTATAATTAGTTCTTTTAACTATGAACATGCAAACCATTTAATGCACACGAAACACAACTATATAGTTCTGATTCACTGAGCAAATTACTTCACGAAACAACAACAAAAGCACATGAAAAAAAATTTCGCTTTTCTTTTTTTATGATGTTATTAATTTAAAGCTATTTAGAGTTAATTAAGGAACTTTTATAGCTTATTAATATTATTTTTTGATTTTTTTTTTCTTCTGTCGATGGGTCGGACACTCGCCGGAACTACCAAAGAGAATTAAGAATTTAACACAGCAAAAGAAGATATTAACGTCAAAAAAATATTGTAGCAACAATAATTGATGAGTTGCTTCCTTTCGTGAGAATTATTCTTGATCTTTTCAACATAATCATCAAAACAGCACATACACAAAAAATTAAACGGCTCAGTACACGGCACTAATGCTTGTTATTTGATTACTCATTAAAGCTCATTAATTATAGAATGAATCAAAGAATAACTATGTTCTATTCATCTCCTCACTTTTTATATTCACTTAACAGACACAGAAATTCTCCTTCAATATTCAATTAACATGGAAAAATGTTCTTCTTTTCTTATTTTCCATTCACCAGGCACAGAACAGAGAAAAAAATCTTTTTTTTATTGCCGACTAGTAAACGAATGTCCGATCTCCATCACAGCATTCAATAAACTAAAACGAAGTAAATGAACTTCAACTTTACAAATGCGAGGCAGTCGAGTATACGAAAATGAAAAGAAAAGAAAAAAATGAGAAATTTTTTTTATTTTTTTCTTGTTGCTCTTTTACATTCGCGATGATCGCTGAGTATGTGTGCTGTTTTGGCCAAAAAGAAGTAATGAAGCTTTTTGATTATTGTATATCTATTTACTACTCATCTTCAATAAAGCTTAGTAGAGCTTTAAACATTCTCATAAGTCATAAAAAAATTTAAATTGCAAATTATACAATCTATGACTTCATGCTATCCCGTTTTATTATGCCCCGTAAGATTATTTGATTAATGAGGAACATCTTGCAGAAGAAATATTGTGTATAGACAGAGACACATACTACTTATAGACAAGAAAATTAATTTCATGGAGTTAAGAGGCTAGAAATATTTATTTTTATGTGTTTTTATTAATTTTTTTTTGCAAAAATTGAAAAATAATAAAAAGGCAGTGAGGAAGAAAGAGAGAAATAGAAATAGAAAAGAAAGCTTTTGAGTTCGGCAATAGAGTTGGGCGTTTTGACAAATGTTATTGCTTTTACTTGGAGGTAGAAAATAAATATTAATTTTGCATATGTTTTAATATAGAAGCTTGACATTTGAATAGTATAGTGTCTTTAATTAGGAGCAGGAGGGGGTATTAATGAATGTTCAACAGGTTTTGATAACCAAATCTGACCAAAGTATCCTAAATTAGCTTCATTGTTTATCCTTCACAATCTTAATCTCCCAATTACTTTCAATTCATTTATAATCCAATAAAATTTGTGCATTATCATCTCTCAACCTTTACTCTAGACAGTAGACAAAAAAGTCATCATAAATGTCTATTGCAAAATACCGCAATGCGATAATTCGTAATCATTTATTAACATCATTCGACTTATTGTAGCAAAACAATTTTCGCGCTTCATAAATTTTTATAAATTAATCTTTAAGACAAAAAAAAAGTAATAAACAGCGCTTCGCTTTTAAGTATAACGGAGGACTTTTTGCATTCTTTTATTTGATTTATAAAACGACTGGGATCATAAAATATGTGTATATAGTTCCATCAAAAAATATTTTAGCGGTGAAATTAAAAATTTTTTGATGGAAATTTTTGCCAAGATTAAAAGTTGTGAGTGCAGGTCTGATCCAAATTGAGGTAGGTAATACAGACAATTTCTTATGAATTTTGCAATGGCAGTCGAAGGAGTGTGATCCGATTTTCTTGCAAATCCGGTATATTTTATGGAAATTCCCCGAAAATGAACCAGTATGAGGCAATAATGAAATGTTATGTACAAATAAAATCACGCACGGAGAGAATAAATGAGTAAAATTAAATTATACGGTATAAAATGTTTATCCAATTTTTGATAAATTCTTCATCACAATCTCTAACTGTTGCTGCTACCGCCTGTGTATGGGAAATTCTATTAATCTTTTATGTAACTCCATAAAAGCAATGAAAAGTTCAGTTCAATAAATTAATTTCATGAACTATAAAATATTTAATGTTTATATAATTAGCTACTTATGTACAACGATAAAAACTGACATTCGCCGAATCATACCTTCTTGGGAACAATCCCATAAATATATAAAAATTCGCAAGCTTCATCAAGCACTTTATTGCCGATCATAAAATAAAATTTCGCACAATATTCTTCGCTTTTTAAAAATACACACAAGGTCATAAAGACAAAATGATAACAAGAACCGCAAGCATTTCGTGGAATAAAGCTTTTTTAATGTATTTTGCATTATATGCCCTCAAACCTCATGTTTCTACGCCCATCTCTCTCCTTTTTCATCTTTTTACTGCACTGATCGTAATATGATTTCTTCTTTTCGCTCAATCGCATACAAAAGATTGGGAAAAGAGAATAAGAGGAAGTAGGAAATTTATTAAGTTTTAAGGCAGAATGCAACGCATTTTGGAAAGAATTTTATGTCATGAAGAGTTAAGAAGGATGCGAATATCAGCTGGATGTGGAAAAGGAAATTAAGCTTAATATTAATTCAATGGGTCGAGTTATTAACTTCAAGATGACAGCCAACCCAAAATGTCCATAAAATCCAACTCACATCACAAAGCAAAAGCTAAAAAGTAAACTAAAGCAGAGCCTTAAAGTGTGAATGATGGAGATACTGTTGTTATTATTGTTTTTGAACGATGTTATTGATGATGAGGAAGAGAAACGAGAGTCATAAAATGAAGAGAGAAAAAAACCAGTTTGATGCAAAAAAAACTTAAATGCTGCTCGTAAAAAAGGTAATGAATGTAAATCATGAAAATGATCCTTTTTCGCAACTGAAAAATGTCGTCATGTTAAGAGAAATAGTTGTGGCTGATTTCTAGCTCGTGCTAATGAAGTAAATTAGCACAAATGGTCTACAGGAATGACAAATACTTCTTTATCTGTTCGTGCCAAACTCGAAACAAAAGAATGAAATTGAAAATTGCCAGGCCAGCAGAAAGTAATAATAAAACTGTTAAATCGATAACGGCAAGTAAATGGCATTAATGATAACAAATAGCTGTGCAAAAAAAATATTATGAAGGTGTGAAGAAGTAAATTGAATAATAATACCATAAATGTGGTCTTTAGTGCTTAGTTCTCTGTTGTTGTTTTGCTCTAGTATATTGTAGATTTATAAAACAATTAACGTTTCAATAGATCACCGCGAGCAATTTGCGAGCATGTGTGAAAACAGTAAATTGACATTGCAAACAGCTCCGTCAGATGTGGTATATAAACTCAGCTGCTGTTGTTCAAATTTTCCATTCTTGACCACTTTTGTACATTGATATGGTAATTTTCTGTCATAAATATTTGCTATACACCGTTCTTTTAGCTTTTATTTCATAACTTAAAGGTCTCAAATTTTTATTGCAGCTAATTTTTCTCAGTGCAAGATTTTCAAGGAGGTGTGGTGCTATGTTTAGGCTGGTTTATGTATTTTTAATGAAGTTATCTGAGCACAAACTTTTTTGATACTTAGTGTGTTAAAAAATACTAGGATTGAACCCTAATCAAAATTTCTTAATAGGTTCATTTGAAACCTTTAATAAGTAGCAGTAGTAAGAGAAATTCTAGACATACAGGTGCATGTTGTACTTTATTATCTGATATTGAGCATTTTTTAATTATTTTTCAACAAGTAAGGGGATTTTTATTTTCCTTTAATTGATCTTAATTTTCCTAGAAATTGACACTTGAGGAACTTAATTTTAAACTTGAATTGATTTACAGTCGACTTAATCTGATAATATATCAAGTGTTGTAAAACCTATCGAATACACATTGTTGTCAATTGTAGAAAGTGCTTCAATTAAATTAAAAAAAGCGTTCAAGTCACCCCCAAAAGAACTTGCAAATATCCATGCTTATTTTTATGTTCTTTCCATTCTTTACAAGTCGAGTGTACTTGAAATTCTTAAAGAATTGCTCACAATGAATTATAATGGCTAAATGTTTAATAATAACAATAATGATAGCGTGTAAAGCTTTTTTCAAACCCCGAAAAGAAAAATAATAAAAAATTACATGATAAATTCAAAAACTTATGAAGTCATGTCGCGAGAGTTAATATAAAAGAAAAAGAACATGAAACAGAGCGGCACAATTTTTTTGCGAATCATTTTAATGTTCATGAGTTTGTATTGTAAAGAAAAATGATCTTTTTAGACGTAGAACGGCGACAGATCAACTGGAATTTCTTTGTACAATATGACTAAGCTCCTCAAGAGAATAGATCGAGATAATAATTACTGCACGTAAATAAAAAAGTCGAGTGCATGTTGTAAACGAGCTAAAAATAGGCATGTAAAGTACAATTTTTATCATTTCTTCGAAAAGAGCTGATAAATATTTTTTTGCGATTTAAAGTCAGAATAAAAAGAACGAAAGAAATTGCGTAATGGAAAATGACCTAAGTAAGTTTTTAAAGCTAAAACTGCTTAATTTTATTGGAACTCAGTGTTGTTATCTTGGCATTTATCTGATTCATACAAAATCTTTATCGAACTTTACTCTGACAAAGATATGACTCGCCTAGCTTAAGAATTATTATAAGAATTTTGGACGACAAAATATAATCTCAGTAATAGGAACACAGACTGGTCTAGAAGTACTTAAAAAGTCATCAGTAAACCTAAAGTCAATACCATATGGCATTTTGACAAGACAATAAAGCACGTCTGGAACTAATTTAAAGAAAACTGACTCACCATTTGATTGTGTCACATTGGCAGTAAATTGATCAACACCAATCGATGTCGAGACTCGCTGTGATGCAATCGGTGTATTATTTGCAAAAATCTCTTTTGAATTCAATATCTCACTGTCATTATTTATCATAATTTTATTATTGATGAGGCATTCAGCACTTTCGTAATTATTATTACGATTAAGTATGGAATTTTCATTAGCTTGCTTCACATGGTCATTAACTAATTTCGAACATTTATCATTGTCACTTTGTAATTCCATATTTTTATCACGATAAAGTAATTTCGTGTGATTTACTTGCTGCTGTTCTTTAATATTTGTCTTGTTCTCGTAAACACAATCAACCGAACTTTTCACATCAATTTTTAGACCGCGAATGTCATTTTTTCTACTTTCGCTCCCGTACGTATTGTCGTGGACTTTTGTGATTAAATTATCGCTCTTATCTTCACACTTATGAAGATAAGAGGAATCATTATCATCATTATTATTGATTTCCATATGCGCTTTTTGTGGCTGATATATTTCCATAGCATCTGAAATTCCATTGCCATTTTTATCGTCTGTATCGTGTACGATCAAAATTGGTCTTGAAATGTAAATAGAATGCAATAAATTAAAGACATTGCCATGATTAAATGGTAATATTGAGCAAGAAAAAAATAATAAAACTCACCCATTTGTTGACTTTTGCTGAATAACAAATTGTTCGATTGATGAAAATTCTTCTTCTGCCTCACCAATTGTCGGAAGACTATTTGCTGAATTTCCACACCAAGGGAAGTTAAAATAGGCCTGTGATATATTCAAAAATTCCGGTGGACCCAATTTTTCTTCCTCATCATCGCCAGCCGCAAAGCATTCAAACTTAATTGGCTCGTAAGACTGTTCGTGCTCGTCCGATGAATTAATTTTATCAACATTTCCATTTACAGCTTTAGCATCATTTAACCATGATTCAATTGTTGTCTTCGTTGGCGTTGTTTTTGTATCAATTTCGCAATGAACTTCCTGTGGCAATGAAATGGATCTTGGACGTGGCACTGGAGGCACTTTCATATCAACATTTTCATATTGCCGTTGATCATTCTCTGGGATGATCATAGACGAAGATGCTGTTGTTTTTGATATATTCACGTAATTGCCAGCTACTTTAATGTCATCATTCATTCTCTCACACTCATTATGGATATTGTTGCTATTGTTGTTGTTATTGATAATGTTGTGGCTGTTGACAATATTATTATACTCGCTCGGTTCCGACTCATTGAATAGCAACAAATTATCGATTGACATTGGAGCGTTACTATTGCTCACAACATTAGTGCTGTTGACATTAAATTCACGCTCAATCATCTGGAATGGTTTGGTGAGAATTCTTGTTAAATCGCTATTGCTTGCATTTGACGAGAGCAATGACAAGTCCGATTCTGATGAGAAATTAGAAATGACCGAAATTTGAGATGATATTGTACTTCCGGTCTCATCAGATTCATCATTACGGCTTAAATCATCGTCGAGTGTGCAATTGAGATAAGTTTCAGCAGCTACAGGAGTTTCTGTAATAATAGGCTGTTGCACTGATTGCTGAATTGGTTGCTGTATATTTATTGTCGCCTTAGGCAAAGCAATTGGTAAAGTATTCGTTTCACGTAAGGACGCTGGTATTGGTCTTTTATTGTTAATTTTTCTTGGCGGTATTTTTGGTGGTGATGGTGGAACTGCTGGACGTTTTGAAGTTCCATTAAATGAATCATTACGTATGACCATCATTGAATTACGATCGCCTTTTTTAACCAATAAATTAATTGCAACATTTCTGTCTTTTAAACATTTTACGCATTCAATTCTCGTCATGTTCGTAATTGGCTCACTATCAATTTGTAGAATCTCATCGCCTTCACTCAAACATCCCCAGGAGGCACGCGCACGATATGCTGGACTATCAGGATCACATGACTGAATGAATAGTCTCTCGACTCGTTCGTGAGTCTTTGTTCCACCTTGAAATTTAAGGCCAAAACCCAGTCGTTCACCAGGCAATCGGTAAATAGTAACAATTTCACCGCTCGTCGGATTCTCTGATGTGCTTATGGTCGTCGTATTTTGATTATTATTTATCGATAATACTGTCACAAATGATGATTTCTTTTCATGTTCGTTAATGATGCTATTAATTGCAACACCGCTGTTAATATTACCGCCACCATTCAGTTGGCATTTTGGCTGGAGATCAACCGAAACAACAGTTACGTATTCACTCATCTTTCACATTTGAGGAAATCTTTAGATATTTTTTTTTCTTTCTTTTATTCTTCGTTTTACTTTTTCATGAAGTTTTCTTCTTAATTTTAATTTTTTTTTGTATGTAAAGTTCCACTTTTAATTTTTCTTCATTAATAGATCAACAATTGTGATTACTGAATGGCTGATAAATGCCTCGTTAACCTGAAAATATAAGTAATTGAACAATAGAATGCTTAATTAATAGTCGAGAGATCATCATCAATTAATAGTATTATGAATAATGAGATTTTATATGAAATAGGAAAATTAGGTAATTTTCACTTTTTTTGGAATGCCTTTTTTACATTTCTCCGAATTGATTGAGTAATGGTCATGCAAACAATATTGTATTTTGAATATTCAAGTCCTGTATTGAAGTTTTATAATGAAATTAAGAGCAATATTTATTACTCTTTGCATGCTTCAAGTAAAAGTGCAAGTAAGCAGAAATGAAATGGAAGTAAAATAGTGTCTTAGTGCCAAGGAAAGCTATTTCTGCTCAGTAATAAACTTGTTTTTAGTTTTTTTATGCAGTCACAACAAGTTGAAAGCGGTTTAACAATCTACAAGCTGGTGAATGCGCATAATTACTTTAATTTTTATAAATATTTATAAAGCACTGCTTTTTAGTACATTATAGATGAGAAATAATTAAAATTATTAGTAATTAAAATTTTTCTGAATTAATAAATCGCATAATCCAAATTGTTACATTAGGATTAACTCTGTATGGTTATGCCTATGTGATTCGGATTTCGCTTTTGAAATTTGTTTTAGAGATTTTTTTTCTGTTCATGCGCTTAAAATTTTCGTGAGTGGATTAAGCAAATTCTTTCGTATGAATACTCTTTTAATTAAGGAACAACTTTTGTAGAACCGGCTTAAGTTTTTTGATTTTTGAGAGATGTGATGACATGCAGTGTTATTGTGTGAATTTTAGGTATGAAAGAACTTTATAGGATCCTGTTTTAGGGTCAATTACTCATTATATAATGCAAAAATGAGTCTTTCAACTCAAAGAACCTTACAATACCTTATTAATCTCTGAGGAGCAGACTCAAGTTTCAAATTCTCATGTCAGTTCTGAATCGATCAGCTTAGAAAAGTCTCGATTTAAATAATTAGATATTCTCAGATGACGACTAAATGTCTGGGTCTTAAAATCACAAATTTACATGATCTGACAGTAATCCTACCGACATTAATCATGTTTGCAAAAAATTTAAAATTAAAATTTGGTCTACAAACATCTTCCGATCTACAGCCAAATTAGCTTCCTTAATCGAAATTCAACCTCAAGATTCAATTCATGTCATTCGAACCGTTTCTACGGTCAGACTGAAATGATTAACTGCTCAATTAACCTTCTTTGCTCGACAATGAAAAATATTTAATGCATTGCAATGCATTGTGAGATAAAAGCATGGAAGGAAAAAAAATCGCCAATGTATCAAGTCAGAAGAGAAAGAAAGAGGCATTCCATTCACGAGATGATGTAGATTCTTTCGTTTTCCGTATGAAAATTTCTCCAATCTGCGACACAGTTTTTATAAATATATAAATACATACATTTTTTTTTTTTCGTGTAAAGATGGAAAGTAATGAATTTGATCATTGAATGAAACCTGTTTTAACACATACTTTCAAAATATAAATAAAAAAAAATTTCGCATTTTATTATTGACATTTCCTCTAAGAAGATCAGGAAAGATAATCTTTGGTAAAAGTGAAGCATTGAAAATCTGATTTGCTAAATTACTGCACGTCAAAATGCAATATCTGATCTGTCTTTTAATATCGCATTTGCCACATGCTGAGCTCCCTCTGTGCGCATTACGTACGAATCTTATTTATATTATTATGATTCGGGGTGTCTAGGATGATTGTTTTTGTAATGTATAATGAGCCGGGAGTTATTTTTAAAGACTACAAAGGGCATGATTTGGTTCTTTATATAGTGATGAATTGCAAATTGCTTATGGCAAAGGATGTCATACAAAAATAAATTTGGAATGATTAGAATCAGGCTCTATGACTGTCGTTTGTGAGGGCATTGGCTCGATTCACAACAAAGAATTTTTGACAGCTTCTTTGAGCCAAATACGTTTGGTTCACTTTCAAATTGAATTTTGGAGTGTATAGCCAATTCAATTAGCATACACGACAAGTCCATGAATTCAAGCAAATGTAAACTAAAAGATGTTAAACTATGAGACATCTAAATTCCCAAATTTAGGTTATTCCAGTGATATTCTAATATTTGCACAACCACTTAATCTCACGACTCATCAAACTGTTTTTTAAATTTCTAAACTAATTTCTTCACACAAAATCCACAAGATATTGGATTTCAATTACAGTAGATGGACACCCTACACATGTCTTGTAAATAATAACAAGCATAATCATTATCACGCCATTAAGCTTTTAGATTTCACTAATCTTTTTTGATTTTCATTTTCTTTTTTTGTTGTTAACACAAGCCGAGAATCTGTGTCATGAATGACTTGGCCGAAATTAGACACATAAGACACTCTCGAGACACACACAATGTATATCGTAGTCAATTGTAGGTAAATCTTGTGGTATTCACATTGGTTTCGAAAGTTATTATTTTTTTTTTCTGCATATCCATTAGCATTGAACTAAATCATTTAATTTTTATATGCTAAAACTCACCATAAATGGAACTGAAGTGCTTTTCGTGTTCTTTTCTTTCCTTAATTCGTAAACAAATATTCAATCATGTTCATTAATAATCCACGCACATTCTTCATTAATTCATTCTAATGTACACAAAACTTATTTCATAATAATAAGAACAACAAATTACAGCACTAAGCACACAGAAAAATAATATTTATTCTTTTTTGTTGCACACCCGAACGAGCCATGTGAAAGGAATTTCGACAGAGTAGAAGAAGAAAAAAATTCTAAATTAAAATTAATTGACGTAAATTTATAAGAAACATCATTTAACACTAAGCACAATTGATATTGATTTGTTCTTACAACACCAACCAAAATAAGAGAACGAATAAAAAAAATCAAAACAAATATGAGAAAAAAAAAGTGCGATGATGATCACCGCAGCAGCAGCAGTAAGAGCAGTCAAATAAATGTGCTCACGTTACGACAAAATTCAACAACACACTGAACTTTTTTATTATTATTATTTTTTTCTTTTCTTCATTGAATCCATGTAGCCCAAGCAAACAAGCAAGCAGCCAGCGCGCTGAGAGATTGGAGTTATGGAAAGCAGTAAGAAAAGAAAAGTCGTTTGAGAGGCGCGGTTTTAATGTTTGAATCAATGTTAGAGGCGCACTGGTTGTTGTTGTTTCTCGTAATTATTGGTGTATGATCTTTAAGTATAACCAGAGATGTTTGTTGAGGGTTGCAGAAGGCATTAGTAAATGATGTCAAAAAGAAATTAGTTTCTAATACCTTCTCTGATTGATTTATCTCAGATGTTTGAAAAGATTGAAGGAAAAGGGGACATTTGCTTTAAGCACCAAAGTTTAGAACCCAAAAAGTATTTCATTCGACTAATAACCTTAAGCATTCAGTATATGAGAATGTAACACAGTGTGGCACTCCTTAAAAAAGTCCTAACATTAAGTCAATCCAATAAACACCCACCCAAACTGCACAAGCTTCTCTCACTCGATCAAATGGTCAAAACGCTCGACAACAAACATTACAAATATGACCAGGAGGTAGTGAGGAAATTTTATTAGTGAGATACTGTTTAACACAGCATCTGTTTCATGCGCCTCTGAATTCAACTGTGTTTCATTCTTGATCATTTAAGAAAAAACAACACAAAAAACAGCCAAATGTAAAAGAGAGGAAAAAAAATCGACTTGAATGAATGCAAAAAAAAAATCAACATTGAACAGCGTATAAAATATTAAATAAAAATTTCAATCTACCGTTAGCCTGGTTAATATGGTATGGAAAAGTCATGGCATGGCGTTTTCTCTCTCGCTTTACTATGCATCGATCTATCTTTTGAAAAAAAAAAAAAAATTATATCTCTCTTGTGCGCCCAGTTTAATATGCTCATGCTCACTCCTCATTCATTTACTCAATGGAGGTTGAATTATTAATAAAAATAATTTTTTTTTTATTTGAAACGTTTATGGATAATGCTGCGGCGCGTAATTCAAATACAATATGATCTTTAATTTTACTTAAGACATTGCACGGGTATTGCATTTCAATAATAATGAATGAACGAATAAATGGATATACAGAAAGATATTAATATCTCCTATAGTCTTCTTGCATTCATGCTTGAACAGTTCATAAAATGAGAAACAAAAATATGCGTAAATTATGAAAAATTAAATTGCATATCGTGATCTATCCCACAAATGAACTTTTCTCTATTGAAATAATAATAAATACAAAAACAGACTTGAGCGTGTTGTGTTTAATTTTGGCGAGCGACTGTATAAAGAATTAAAAAGTCATAAAGAAGAAAATTAGGCTTTGTGGTTTGTTAAAGAGTTTTATGCGCATTTTCTAATCTAAGATTTTTTTTATTTTATAATATGCCTAGGGGCCGTTCACTTATGACGTCCAGGGGGGGGGGGGCCAGCAAGAAAAAAACAATAGAAATTCTAGGAAATCCATTGTTCTTTTTTGAAAAATGACCGTTAATTTCGGACGTCATAAGTGAACGACCCCCTAGTTAATTTGTAGGCTGTCCATAAAATGATATAAACTGTTGCTCTAGGTTTGAGTCATGTCAAATTTTACTAGACAAACTGTACCGAGAAAAAATATCTATCCATAAAAAAGTGTGATATAAACAGGTCTATATGGTTAGAGGTATGATTTTAATCACATCAAACAGCACACATTGCAAAAAAAGGCAAAGAAAAGAATTGAGTGGGACACTGACTAAGAAACTTCAATAATATAGATTTGATCCAAACGTCTATTATTAAAATATTAACAACAAAGGAAATTAAGGAACGACAGTGCGAGAGAAACAATAAGAAGAAGCTGTAGAAGCTTGTATGCATCGTCATTAGCGTCAAATGTTCGTGATTATCAAATTGTAGGGATGGCTATCAGTGAATTGAAATTAATATCAACCTGCCAATTTATAAACGATCTGTGTCCAGCCTCTCATTCTTTACCATTTCTCTCTCTGTTCTTTTGTCCCAAACTATCGATCTCATACATGCCTTAAGAGAAAATTTCTAGAGAGTTTCTTTTACCAATTCTGTCTTGGATTCGATCACAAAATGCGATGGAAATTGGACTTGAAATTTGGGTTACAGTTACACGAAACTTAAGCATTTTTATCGGATGCTTTAAATTGGTGAATATTTGGAACTTCTTTTCTTCTCATTTCGTACAAGCTTCTTCTTTTTTCCGTGTTCTGCTTTTTATTCTCTCTCTTCATGTTTTCATTGCCAAAAAATTCATAATAATATAGCTAGCAGACGATTTTTTTCTTTAATTTCTTAGCTTGAATTTGGGTAACAAGTGTGTTTTTGTTTTTATTTGGTTCGTTGACTGGAAGGTTAACTGTCTGGATGACTTACTCATTGTTAGCTTAATGTTTTCTGTTTTTCCAGTAGGTTAACTCTCTGATTGCATGATTAGTTCGTGAAATGGTTGAGTAACTGAATTATTCATAGAGTTTTTTCATTCAAAATTAGAAATAGGTTAAGAATAGCTTACTTGAACTGTAAGCTATAGACATTTTAAAATTTTCCAACTGCAGACATATCTGTGCAGTTCAAAGTTAATCAAAATCAACAATTTCTTTTACCGCCAAAAAATATATGAAGTTGCTTTCGTCTCAAAACACTCTAAAACTGCGCTTCAATCATCTCCAGCTCATTAATGATCTCACAAATTTTGTTATTATACGTATCCACTCTCATGGGATGGTAACCGTTAAGATCAAGAACATAGCTCAATTACACAAAAGTTTCTTGTCGATGTTTGTTAATGTATGTAGGTCATTGTAACAAGAACTTCCAAAAAGTAATAATCTATATCACTTGAACACACCTCTTAACAACTCTTTCACAACAATAAAAAAAAATGGTCATCAACAGAAAAAGGCGACTGTCTACAAATGATTTATACATATGTACATAACACGCTACGATGTCTAAATATGAATTTTTAAAAATACATGATTATTCGCACGATTTTTGACATCTGTTCGCACTAATTACAAGACATGCTTAACTTTTTAAAGAAATTCATTTTAATACATTTGGACAAGATGCTTTTTTGTATCCAATCCTTGACTTACAAATGTTGTTTGTTGTGTTTTCCTCTCGCGTCGTTTTTTGGGAAAAGAAGAATCTGTGGTTTTGCATGAAGTTTGAAAAGAACTTTCATTATCTCACGCAGACTATTTTGAGTTCTTTTTTTTTTGTATGCCACTTGCTTTTTATGGCTTTTTAGCATGTTTATTGAAGAGAATTGCATGATCATGCACACTTTAAGTTTATTGTTTGAATGTTTGATTGAATAATTGTTCTGGTTGTAGACTAAATTGATTTGCTCGATGGATTGGAGGTTGATTAGTTGAATTGAATTGGTAATATCTTTTGATATTTAAAAAGGGACTGGTTTCCTTAATTTTTAACAAATTCACACTCAACCGTTTGTTCTTAATCTAGTGATCATCAAATCAGGTTGTACCTCCTCTCCTTTTTGATGCTAGGCATGTAAAGATTCATAATACGTTAGCATGAGCTCACCCAAATAACAGCGCACTAACTTTAATAAAATTCAATCAATTCGCAACTCTCATTTCTCTTTTCCCTTTACGATCGTTTGATGCCTGTTTTTGGGTAATATTTTGATCGAATTGATCGAATCCATAAAAAATACATGTTGCGATGATACTCAATGTAATTTTCGGGAAAATGAGATATTATACATACAAAAAAGAAACAAGATTGATGTTGCGTAAAAAACTCATCAACATCGCTAAGTTATACAAATTGAATTGCTCGAAGAGGAAAAGAAGATATATTTTGAAAAATAATGAAAGAAAATGAAAATAATGATTTGATCTCCGAGAAGAATTAACAGCAAAAAATTATGTGGATTTTTGAAAAGAATAAATTTCAATTATTTGGTATAGCATTTATTTTCAATTAACTTATTGGTGTTTTCGATTCCGTTAAGTAATATTGCTCTAATATTGAACAACAAGAAATCGTGTTGGAAAGGACCTCGAAAGCTTATTTATTTGTAGCATAACAACATTAACGCATAAATTATTTTAACTAAGTTACAGACATAGTAATACAGCCAAAAACAAAATTGTTCTCTCTGGTGTCTTAATTGACTATATGAAATACTATAAAATTTAAATATCACTTTTCTCACACAATACTAATTGAAATTGATTTGAATTTAATTAATTAGAGTTTTTGATCATTTTAAACACTCACATGATTTATTATAATTGAATTTATGCTCACTGTTAAGGCCAGATTAATTAATTTTAATTTTTTTCATTTAACACATACCATCGTCGATCGTCTTACACTCTCACCGATTTATCAAAACATTCTTCAGGTTTTCGGAGGGTACGTCGTGATTCCGAAAAATCACTTCTTGGAGTATATTAAAAAGTTTTATGGTGCAACATAGCTGATCCCTACCGATGATGATTAGGAAGATTTTATGGTATCTATGCTTATTCATTAGATATTCTAGTGATTTATAGCAAAAAATTGAAGTTAAGAATCTGGATTATAAACATGATTATTTCGTTTTAAATGTCAATAAAATTTTTATTTAAAATTTTCTAAATTAAGTTTGACCTCAAATCTTGCTGTAGCTTTTTTGTGGACTTTTTGGTGATTGGACAATTTTAAAATCTTATTTAAAATCCATCTTTTTTAATAGATTCAAAGTTGCAATACATTTTGACTAGATTAAACTAATTCAGTTGATTGATATTAGCTCAAATTAAAACCTTAAGCAAATTATTTGAATTTTCCCGCACAGCTTTCAGCACAGACTAGTGGGAATAGCATGAACTACCTTCATCATTTTTACTTACAATTTAACACGGTTTGCTCATTTATTTATTTCTATCAATTAATTTTAAAGCCACGTGTTGAATATTTAAATCAAATTAACTGTCTAAGTTTTGAAAATCTGCAAATTGCTTTTCCCGCATTTTTCAACAGTCAAACTTATTCAAAAATTAGTAAAGATGCTACAGTTATAGAAGTGAATACACGAATAAGGAGCACTTCTACAAAATCAGTCCAAAATACTGATTCACATCGAAAATTGAATCATTGACATACAGATCGTCAGTTCCACAAACCTCACAACATAGTACACACTCTTGTAGACTTAAATTGCTGCTTGTATTTGAGTTTTTGAAGTCAATCAAGTCATTCAGACAAAGTGGAGTACAACAACATTGCTCAAAGAAAAATAAGCTAAAAAGATAAACAATATAACGTGCCAGCAAATAAAAATAATATTTAATTAAAAATGAGGGAAAATACGCCTCCTGCATCTCCTTATCATGATGAGGATGAAGAATTAGTGTACGTTGGTGACGATATTGATGAAGTCATCGAGCATCTCGAAGGAATTCCAGACAATGAAATGGAAGATATTGATGAAGGTAAAAATATGAAATTAAAGTGATTTTAAAGATGACTCATTCAGTGATTTGCTGATTTTACAGAAGAAGACTTGGAAGATGATGGAAATGTCACACCAGAACGAGATGATTCGATATTAACATTTTCAAAGCACACAAGTGCATTATTTTGTGGTAATTTCAGCACTGATGGATCACTTGCTGTAACCGGTAAGCTATACAAACTTAATTAAAGATCCAGCAACTAATGAGGACATTTTACAGGTGGAGAAGATGACAAAGCATATGTTTGGGCAACAGATACAGGAGATGTAGTTTTTGAAGTTACAGAACATAAAGACAGTGTAATAGCAGCAGAATTTTCATACGATGGAGCGTATTTAGCAACAGGAGACATGGCAGGTGAACTCAGAGTCTTCAAAATAGATAAGAATTATAAGAAAGTTTGGGAATTTTCGATGGGCGATATGAGTTGGATGCAATGGCATCGAAAATCTAATGTCTTGCTAGCTGGATCTGAAGTTGGTGAAATTTACATTTGGCGTATTCCATCTGGTGACTGTAAAGTGCTTCAAGGTGCTGGGGATAAATGTGAAGTTGCTATTTTCACAAGTGATGATAAAAGATTAGCTGCAGGATATGGCGATGGAACATTCAAACTTTGGGATATTAAGAATCAACAAGTTCTTTTAAATATAGGTCCAGATGAGCCATCAAGCAGTGATGAAAATGAAGAAGTTCCACCACCATCAATTACAACAATCGCTACAGACAATGAGAATCAATTAATAATCACAGGCGGTGTTGATGGAACAGCTAAACTGATAGGAAGTAATGGACTTATTGGCAATTTATCAATTCCACAGTCAAGCTCATTAGAATCGTTCCCAATTGAACGAGTTCTCATAGATTGCCCAGGTTTAGAATTCAAAGTTGCAGTCACAGCAAATTTAGGAGGAAAAGTCATCATTTGGGATGTTGCACGTCAATCAATAAGAAATGAATGCAAAGATGAGGACGCATCAGGAGTTACCACAATGATTTGGGGAAGAGAACAGACAATAATGGCAGGAACACTTGGCGGTGCTGTAAAAGCCTGGAATGTGAGAAATGGAGAATTAAAATTCAAGTTACTTGGACATGCTAATAATATCCATGACATTTGTTATCATGAAAAGAAGAATTTATTATTGACAGTATCAGAAGACAAGACAGCAAAGATTTACACTCTCCCTTTGTAAATATTGAAATAATGAGTTACATTAATTGTGAAAATGTAAAATAAAATTGATATTTTCTCCTAAAGTTCACGGTTAATTAGTTCTTATTTGGGATGTGGATATAATATCCATATGATACAGCTTACAACATTGGATTAAAACAATAGATTAGAATTTTAAATCGTTAGATTTATTTTCAACGTTCAAAGCTTAAATCCAATGTTTTCAAACCTTATGTCTATGTTTTTCACCTCAAGCTATATGCAACAAGCAGAACAGATGATTTTATAGACCCAAATGTATTAGTAAAGAATTCGTTTCGTGAGTAAGAAAACTTTTCTTTGCGTAGAAAATTCGTTCATAAATTAATTTAAAGAAACATGACTTAAAGTGATGTGATTATTAAGTGTTTTAAGTGTCAATGTGTAGATAAGATTCAGTCAATTATCTTGTAAGTCAAATTTAGTAAAATTAATGAAGAATTTAATGGAAATTAAGCCAAAATAAAACTGCATAATTTTACACATACTACTGTGATTACGTATTAAAATCGGATGCATGTTATGCTGTATGAATGCAAAAAATGCATGATCCAACATGGATCAATATTTCATCAGAATATAGCATCATCCAATGCCAAAAGTGACACAGAAAAAGTTCTGAAGACTTCTAATATTTATAAACAAAGAAAGTCCACGAGTGTGCGCGATAAATGATTAAATAAATAGAATCGAAATATTCTTCATTAACAGCACAGCTTAGAAACCAGTTGCTGTCCATGTGGTTTTAATTAACTTAAACGCTCGAACAGAAAAGCTGTTTGCTATCCAAAAACTGCCGGCAAATTAAATATTTTTATTATTACATTTCTTATCATGTCACCACGTGGATTCCTGTACTCATTCTCTCATAACATTCTCATTCTCATTTATGTTGAGTATTAAATCAATCTACAGCATAAGTGACAATGTGGGTTTAAATACATTCATATGGGCATATTAAAGTGAGAGAATTTTATGATAAAGCATTTTAGTCTCGTTTGTGCTTTCATCGTGATCGGAACTAACCGAGAATAAGTTTGATAAATAGTGTGGCTGTTAGGGATTTTTACACATTAGGTATTACCTCTATCTATTTCCAGTGTGAATGGATTGGAACTTTTGAACAGTTTTAAATGTTTTACTGGATGTTAGTTCCTCAAGTATAATGTAGCTTTACCTGAGCTTGTTCGCAGGGTGCTTTATGACTTTCTATAAATAGTATTTATGAAATATATTAAATACTGAAATTTCTAATTACTAAAACCAATCCATACGCGCTGGATCTGATTAAACAGGTGCTTTCTACGAACGGTTCCTCAAAACTGATAATATTTATTGCGCAAAAATTATTGTAATGTGTACACAGTGATTAAACATACAAAACTTTATCTAACTATAATTATGTGGAATTAAGCATCACAGGCACATATAATAAGCACATTCTTCGGAAATTTTGAGTGTCGGACATTGATTTTGGACGAAAAAAACACAGTGAACAGGAAATCTATAATTTAAAGTATCTTCATTTTCGATTTTCATTGGCCCAGGGTTGTCACTTTCCTTCCATCTCCATGTGCCTATTCATAAACTATGCTCATGCTTTATTGTGATAAATTGTATTCTTATCAATTCTGAAAATTTATAATGATGCGTAATTTTTATCTTTTTATTCTATAAGCTGATACATGATTTAGTGTATTTTCATCTCTATGCTAAAAGCCCTGACAGTAAACGTTATCATTCACATCGTTGTGTCTATTTCATTGCATGTTTAAAGCGCAATTCTTCTGGTCACGAATTATTACGTGTCTAGATTTATTATCAGACGAACAGGACAGGATGAAGTCGTTGTTTTTTGCGAGAATTTTGTTATTGTCATTAAAATTTTGAACCACAGAGATTAAAATTTTAAGATTGTTGGAAGTTAAAATGCAAATAAATTCGGCTTGGTTATCATTCTCGTGATGATTTCGTGCTGTTTGCGAGAGATTCCTGAGGTCACGTTTCTTTATAAGTCTAATTTCAAAAATTCAGAACATTAATTTGATTCAGTTGGTTCAATAAGACACAAAACAGGTATAACTTTAACCATGAATGCAGTAAGAAGATGAAGGGATAAGGATGAGGCGGAAAATGAAAATCAGAAACCGGAATATGCATCGAAAAATTATTTAAAGTTGTTCTTAACATTCCAAAAAATTCATTTTCCGGTTTATAAGAATTAACTGTATTCAAACTGTCTTCGACAACCAGAAATGATATTTGAAAGTTTAATGATATGCTAATCAACTTCCATTCATTTGAATAAATATTAAAACTGCTTCCTTATATCAGACCTACTTCAATATTTCGGATATAAACTAGATCAAATCTTCCTTAGTAACTGGCGCTAGTAGATGTTAAGATTTACCTTATTATTCAGGAGATTTCGAACAATTCCGGATTAATAGTCCAATTTTTGACCTATGCTTAATAATCATGTACTATTCAACATCCACACATTTATATCCGAAATTGAAATTTACTCTCAAATCCACCAATACATTAATTACAACCGGCTTACCGGTAACTCCATACCTGTTGCTCGATTCAGACATAACTCATAAATTACAGTCAAAATGAACAATAAATCAAATCAAGTTCAAGGAAAAATGTGCTAAAAATACATATTACGGCGGCCTGAGAGACTCACTTTTTGTGCTTCCCATTTTTTTTTTCGAGCAGAAATTGGCTTAATTTCCATAATTGCAGAACATTGTGTACATTTATTCACACCCAACATATCAAATCATCTGTTTTGATTTCATTCCATCAATCTTCTCTCTTTCCCCGTAGCTTTTTATTTCGTCAGCACCAAAAAATATTCATACCCACACACAGTACTTGTTTTCATTATTCTCCTTCTGTAGACGTAAAGCTGTCTCTCTATGAGGAAGTGTGTAAAAAGTCAACGACAGCTGATGATTTTCTTGAAGTGATAAAATACCGTGCGCCTTATCAAAAATTATGTATTTTATGTAAAAAGTCATTAGTGAATTTGTAAAACAACGTTCGGAATGGTCGCTGAAGCTCATCAAGTAATTTTATTATTATAAAATATAATATTACATATTATTGTGTAGTGTCAAGAGCAAGAGTAGTAGTGTAATGTGAAGCATGAAATGCTATTAACTTAAAAATTATATGCCAGCAAAAATCGATTAAAGCTATAAAATTATTATTATTTGCTAAAGAAAATTGGATTCAAAGGCAGGAGAGGAATTAATTTTTGATTTTACAAAATTATTTACTTTTGTACCTACATAAAATAAGAAAGAAACATACATACATAAAAAAATATAAATTAAAATCCAGAATAACTGCATCATGGCAAAAGTATCGGCTGCAGATGAAATTGTACCACGTTCCGGTTTTTCCGGTTCGAAAGCATCATCCGAAAGTAATGGAGAGACGAAAGGAGTTCAAATGGAGAAAAGAATATCGCTTGTTGACGGTGTTTCCATCATTGTTGGTGTTATTGTCGGCTCAGGAATTTTTGTCTCGCCAAAAGGCGTTCTTCTTTACTCGCAGTCAATTGGATTGTCATTGATTGTATGGATTTTATCAGGAGTTTTGAGCATGGTTGGAGCTCTTTGTTATGCTGAATTAGGTGAGTCTTAAAAACATATAAAAGATGATTTATGATTTTAAAATTGCTCAGATACTCTTTGTTATCTTCTTCTTCCTATCCACGTTCTGAAAATGTTCTCAAATATTAATTTATGTTCTCATGAATAACAACAATACACGAAAAGAAGAATTGAGAATAAGAGATGAACTTTTCCTTTTTTTATATTATCAACGTCGTACGATAAACTCACTTTTTCTTCTTTGTAGCTAGACATACTTTCGAGAATTCTTTATTTTATTGTCGACTGATGATCTATGAATTAGAATTAGCTATTTAAATCTTGTTTGAAGATCTCGTAAAAATCAGAACAAGAATTTATTGCTTGCCATTGTTTTATTACGTATAGACGATGCTAGGCAAGTGTTTGAGTGCCTGAATAGTCGGAATTTCTTAACAGGGCTTGTATAGACATTATTGACTGCTAGAACCTCATCGCTGTATTTTGTTAACTGACTTGAGAAGGCAAAATCTAGCATTTTGCATCCATATCAACACCAAAAGCTTCAAAGTCTAAAAGTAGCACTTAGCTTCATTACAATATTTGAACTAGAAAGGTGCTAATATTAAATTTGTCCAATATAACACGCTATCTTCATTGAAGTATCCGCCAAAATATTTACTTGCATCTATTTTGACACCTATTTGGATAAGGGGCTGTTCACTTATTACGTAACGCGAAAAAATGACTTTTTAGACCCCCCCCCCCCTCGTAACAAAATTTGTATGAAAAAAAAACTTCCTTGTTTGAACCGTAACAAAATCTTAGACCCCCCTCCCCCCTAAAAGCGTTACGTAATAAGTGAATGGCCCCTAAAGCAAATTTGTTAGAACTTACAACCTCACACAATGCATTTATTTGCATTCAATCAAAGTATAAACTTACAAAGTTATCAAAAATATCTAATATTCAATATGTAACAGTACTTGTACATACACGTGCTTAATGACTCATCAGAAATTGTAGCTTATTGCAATTTAAAATTCAATGAAAAAATATTTTATCGGAATTAAGTATGATGACGTCAAATAAAAGGTTTTAAGAATTTATAATGAGATAAAGAAGGCTTAATACCTCCAAAATCATAATTTTGTGGACTTTTGTGAAAAGTGTAGACAATCGAATTTTATATGAATTTTTGTCGTCTTGCTTTGAGATGTAAATTATAGATGAATATGATGCTAAATGTTTCAGGCACGAGACTGTTTTTTGCTTTCTAATACCTTAATCAATTCTTGTTAATTTGTGAAGCATACAGGCTTAGAAAAGCCGGCTACATTCTTCAAAAGAAGCTTGTGAAAAAGGCCTATCAAATACAATGTCCGATTTTTTTAAAGGTTGAGTGGCATTGACAAATATTTTTGAATGTAAGTTTTGTTCCAGAAGTGGTTTGAAAATTTCATTTTAAGCTTACACATCATTTGTGAACAAAGTCCATAAGTTCAATGATATTAATAGCACCTTAATTTTGAAAATCAGAATTCTCTGCTTTCAAATTGCGTCATACTTAATACAAATTACTCTCCATGTAAGCCAAAAAAAAAAGGCATCACAGCCACAAATCAAAATTCACAGAAAAATATTTTCGAGCGGAAGTTTCTGCTTAAAACAAAAAAAAACTATCTAGCTTAATTAATAAAAACAAAATTCCTCATACAAATTACCCATAATTTACACCTACCTGCTACATAGTCTTTGAATAATTGTAGATCAAAATCGAGATCAAGTTCAACATAACATGAATAATTTATGGTTTTACGACTGCATCATTTGCCGACATTCAATCATAACATAATTTTTTATGATACATGTTCATTGCAATGCGGTAATTCATCACGATACATTTTTACGTACGTAAAAGCTACATTTATTACAACATCTACGAAAATGACATGCTTGCATGCCTGCCTGTCCCATAATAATGCTTCCACTTCTTTTTCTATCGTTAACCTTGACTCGTAGCAAGTTAAATGAGCGTAAAAGTTTTAGATGCTGCTAATATTGTTGTTGTTGGGAAAAATCATGTAACAGAAGTGAGAAAGGTGAATGAAAGAAGATGCAGAAGAAAGAAGAAAAAAAAAATTAGGAATCTAAAATAGGAATCGCCACGAGGTTAGTGTGCTTTGCTACCGTATTAATTTATTCGCTCATTCATGTCCAAAAATAAAGTAAGTCTTTCCGTAAATACAAGACGAGACTTTGGAAAAGCACAATGCAGAATTTACAACAAGCTTTGTTGTTGGAATTCATGAATTGAAATTACCAATGCATAAGATAATGATATATTACTGTGTATATCTACTTACTTACATTATTTACAATTTAATAGGATTATGTAATGTATTGCATGTGAATCTCATTTCGTTGCATTATTCAATGATTCAATTTTCTCTCTATACTCTTAATACTTACTTCTCATGAGATGAATCATTATATTATTGCCAATTCAAGGAAGAGGAATGAAGCTGCTCATGCTGTAATTTCAAGTTGTCACTGGAAGAATTTTGCAATTTTTTTTTAGTCTTACAATGCATTTAATATGTCAGCAGGATATTTCTGTATTACAAAAGAGCATGTTAGCTGTGCTTACTTTTATGTTGATGCTGTTTGGAAGGTGGAATGGAGATAGTTTGATGTGAATAAAATTGGCTTGAGATAAATATCGGATTGGGTTTTTGTTTTTTGAGGAATAGGCTTAACATTACAGTAATTGGCAATCTGTCAATAGTCAGAAACGTGACATTCTTTTTATATCCCGATTTATGGACGGCATTATGTAATGAATTACTGTTTATAAATTGTTTTAAAGTGTAATTAAGCTTTTAAAAATGCTTCAATTATTTTAATCTAACGGTAATCGAGACTTTTTACCAAACCTAGCCATTTGAAAGATTAATAATAGTGAAAAGTGATTAGCCAAGAGCAAGAAAGGTGAGGGAGGTGTGGGTCTCAATAATAGCTTGTTTCTGTACCTGAAATTCACATATGTTTCTGGCGTAATTACAAAAATTCCCACGATCCTTGCATGCATAAAGATGTGTCATTAGATCTCTTTCATGATGAAATAATTATAATAGTGTTTATAAATGTAATTGACTGAAAATTAGAAAATTTTGACACATTTTTAAACAATGCAAAACATGCAGTAGCAAAAGCTCAAGTTTTTAATTTCAATCATATCTTTTCTTCTTTATTTTTTCTCACATTCGTAAAAATCATTTATTTTCGTTTCAAATTGTGTGTAAAAAACTTACAAAATTGTCGCAATTTGATGCAATTTTTTATCTTAATTCATGTTTAACGGAATCACAGCAATTCCAAGAAGTTTAATCTCTATCTCTTGTATACACAAAAATATACATAAAAGAATGACGAGTTTAATAGGTAAAAACAAAAAAGATTTCGTACAGCAAAAAGTTATGTCTTTGCCGTAATACGAAATAAAATAGTAAAAATGTGTGTCATTTTTTTGAATTGAGATTTTGTTTAATTTTTTTGGTAGAACAATAAAAGCTTAAAGCTATTGGTTTTATGTATGATGAAATGGAAAGTGTTAGCTTATGAGATGTTTATAAATTCATTTTGTTACATGATCTACTTAATGATGATAGCTGTATTCACCACCATATCCGCTAAAGCTTGTGTATGAGTGTTGATGTTCTGGTGCATAATGTTGTGGGCCATGTCCATGGTGTTCTGGAGCATGTTGAGGTACTGCTGGCTTAACTGGAACATGTACTGCTACTGGCTTCTCATGGACGACTGGGAATGGGACATGCTTCTCTGTGATTACTGGACGATCAATTGGAACCTTTTTGTTGGGAATAAGAGGATAATTAGTCAGTTGTTCTATCAATTTGATCATATTCTGCTCAACTTACATGAACTGGGTATGGGACTGGCTTCTCAACAGTATATGGAACCTTCTTTATAACCTCAACTGGATGTGGGACTGGGTATGGAACGTTGTATGGAACTTTCTTGTCAACATTAACAATATATGGTTTGTCAACTGGGACATGGACTGGGTAGTGAACTGGTTTTTCGACATAGTATGGTTCCTTCTTGATGACTTCTACTGGGTATGGTGCTGGAACATGACTGGTTATAGGGAAAAGAGAATTATTAATGTTGCCTAAAGTTATTCTAATTTGTTTGAGTAACTTACACTGGGTATGGACGGTCAACTGGGACCTTGACTTCATATGGAACATGCTTGACAACTGGAACTGCACGTGGAACTTCTACTTCTCTGATAACCTATTTAACAAAAGTATTCCAGTTATGTCTGTGAGAATTTATTACTTTATGAAAATATTTGTGATTACCTCATATGGAACTTTCTTTTCATGAACAACTGGATATGGTACTTGGACATGGCTAAAGGAATTAGAGTTTCATAATAATTACATAAATTGAGCATTATTTTTCATGTAGACATGTAATCATTGTTTGATTGCATTATACTCACACTGGGTATGGGACCTTCTTGATGACTTCGTATGGTTGTGGGACGTATACTATAAGAAAAGAAATGCTAGGTTATTAAATCAAATTCTAAAAAATATCAGATGTGTTTGACAAAAAGCTTTTTGAGTGACAATCTCATTTTCATGCACAATTATAAGTCACAATGCCATTGAACTTTATTCTACTTTTTTTTTGCCCTCCGTCCTTTAACATTCATTCAAATTGGAATGAAACTGATGCTTAAAATCAATATTTACCTTTGACTGGATAAGGCTTCTCAACTGTAACTGGAATGTGAACTGGAACTTTTCTTTCGACTGTTAAAGAAATTAAAAATGGAAATTACATATATGCACAACTTGAAAACATTGAAAAAAGTGTCGGAAAGACTAAACATCATTATTTAATTTGTAGTAACTACAACTAATTACAAATGACGAAAAAAATGTTCATTTTGAAAGAAAACAAAAATTTAGAATAAATTATCTCTTGACTCTTAATTAAGTCTTTCCAAATCACTTGTTCATTAAGGCATTGGTATTTTTTTCTCAAAAGAGAAACTCACCTGGATATGGTGCAGGAACATGACTATTTGAAGGATAGAGGAATTGAGATTAATTCACGGTCAGTAATTGCAAAAAAGCTGAATACTTACACTGGGTATTTGACGTATTCTTTTGTATGGACTGGAACGTGTTTGACAACTTCATAAGGCTGTGGAACTGGGACCTGATGCATTGCAAATATACAATTTCGCATAAGAAGAAGAAAAAATGTTTTGGATTAATAAAGAGATTCTCACGACCGTCACCGAAATAACATCGAAAGTGAATTTTTTTTTCTCAAGAAAACTGACCTTCACTGCTACTGGCACATGCTTTGTATATTCAACTGGGATGTGTTTTGTCACCTAGCAATTTGGATGATTGATTCGTGTTTTTAAAAATTGAGGAAATGAAAAAAGAAAAGAAGAAAGCGAAATGCTTAGTTTGTTGATCGATAATTTAATATTCTTTAAACGCACTTCATAAGGTACTGGCACTCCTTTAACTACAGTTACTGTCTTATGAATATCAGTCTTGTGTCCTAAGTAAAATGGTTGACCGTAGCCATGATGTTGAGGTGCTGAATGATATGCACCACCGAAATGTCCTGAATTTCCAATATAACCGAGATCAAGTCCGTTAATTCCATATCCATATCCGAGATCAAGTAATCCACGTTTGTCTAATTTCTTTTCCAATGGTTCTGCTTTCTTTTCCTCCTTCTTTTCTTCAGCAAATGCTGATGACACCAACAAAAGTGTTAAGCACAACTGAAATTATTTTTTTATAATTATTTTCACTTTCAATTCTAAAGCCATCAGAACTTGATCCTAAAGTTACTCGTAGGAATGACTTTAACATCCAGTACTGATGATTTTAAATTGTCTTTTAAATTAATTTGTCAAATTTCACAAATCGTCCTTCTTATTTTTTTCACAATGTCTTTAGAATTTCAATTAATTTCTTCTTCAATTGCTATTCACTTCCTTTTCATGTATTTTAAGTCCATATTAATTTTTTTAATTTTCATTCAACTCACAAAGGCTTTCATCATTAAATTTCAAATTATTTCTTTTTTTATGAATTATTTTAAATTCTTTATAATTTTTTGCACCCAACAAATATTGTATAATATATCCAGTTAACGTGTGTTTGGCTTGATTCCAGATTATGAACTGAATGTCATGAAACACTTCACATCGGTCTTTTATACCGCCAAAAACCAAAACAAAGCAATACTAAATTCACTTTCATTTCAAAAGAGCAGAGCAAAGATTTTCTTAGTGTATAAACATACATGCGAATAAGCCAGAGAACCGTGAGCTTTTTTCTGTAAAGCTTTGAATTAGTTTTACTCATTTTCTTTATTTGTCGTTGTTGTAGCATATAAAATACACATGTAACCGTTATAATACTAGCAAATAAAACAGTAGTGCAAAAGTTCAGTCAAGTCATAAGCTACAAGAGCAAGAGAGGAGGCAAAAAGTCTCACAATTATTATGATGTGAAATCATAAAGAAGAACAATAAGAAAAAAAAAGATTAGTTTATTAATGGACAGCATTTTTGTTGTGGATTTTCATGCCTTAATAAGCAATTGCATTATGTTTGTCTGTTTGACAGTTAATGTCGAATTCTTTAGATTCTCTCTGAAGGACGATTAAGTTTCATCAAATTGAGACACATCAGATGGTTTTTATTTACGTTTGACAAATTGTGGTTGCACTTCATGATCAGATATGATTGACTAGATTAATTGCGATGAGTAGCTTCAGATTCCCAATATTAAGCAGTCATTCGAATTGTGTAATCTGCATCTGAATTTTATGGATTTTAGTATAATGTTCTTAAATTGAAAGTTTGATTTATTTATGAATTAATATAATTTATAGATTAATTGTCTCAAGCACTTCTGGTTTTGTTCCTAGTAATGACGTACTAGTTCCTAGTAATGAAGTAGTGCTTCAAAAATATTTATGATTCGATTCCTCTCGACCACTAAATGCGCTCAACATCAGGGCTAATCATGCTAATCTGTTTTCAACTTGACCATGTTTTGTTCTTCAATTTGTACCGAGACTATAGCCTCCGTGAATAAAGACATAAAATAAATGAATTTGAATATTAAATTGAATGATTACTTCATCACCTGCTATGAAGGGAAAAGGGCAAAATAGCATTTAATAAAATGAACAAAACCTCCAGACTTTTTCGAGATTTAATGTTAGATAACTTTTATTTTCTTTGAAAAGTCATAGCATCATTAATTAGTGATTAAAAGTCGACCGAACCTATAAACTGAGAAATTGTTCACACATGAGATCATTAAAAAATCATTTTATTCTATTTCGTCATTACTAATTGATTGATTTTTTTTATAACTAATGTTTACTGTCGCACATCATATGCTGAATAGCACACAATACATAATATTCGTGAAGATGAAGAAATGTTTCTACATCTATAACATTCAACAGCTACTAATTAATAAATAAATGCAAGAATGTAATAAACAATAGAAACAAGTAAAGTCTTTCCGCGCGCAGCAGCATCAAAATTTCTCATTCAATAAAAAGTGAGAAGATTTCATTCCATTGAAGATGTGGTGCAATCTCATTTGCTTCTGCATTTCGCCTTCATTTCAATATAACCAATTAATTTTGTGCAATTTTCAATCTTCTAATTTTTTATAAATAATAATCTCTAAAATGTTTTTTGATTAATTCAAGTTGCTGCCCACGGCCTTGCTTATTGAATGCCGAATATTCATTCCATAAAAATATTATTTTTATTTGAATAAGACATTAAAAAAAGTTTTATGTTTAAAGCAACTAATTAGATATGGACATAAAAAAATGTAAATATAAACGGAGCAAAAGATCCAACTGTAGTTCTATTAATAGCCGGTAAATTAAGAGCCGGATTAAATCTAAACAAAAAATAATTAAGAATCTCTTTTGTGATAGATGATTTTGCACTTAAAAAATTATTATTAGGATTGTACAGAAAACATTCAGGAAGTAAATTCAATTACGAGAAGCATGAATGCTGAATAATGTACGAATATTGGATTATTGCATTGTTTTGGATTCTTGGAAAATTTTTGTACATTTTTATTGATTCATAGTTTTATTATCTAAGTGGTATGTGAACTTTTGGACTAGGTTCTATTATAACATTATGAACATCAGCAAGTCTTGACAACTAGAGTCAAAAAATCAAATATTATAGCCAAAGGCAGTTTTTGTTATCTCTATCTTCACATATTATCCCTGACAATTTGTCAATAAAATTCATTCATCATCCATAATCTCATCCGTCCTTACACAACAATATAAATTTTCATAGACAACATTTTATATTCAGCATGAACTGCAACCAAACTAAGCCACACAGAGTCTTAACATTCTTTGTTATTATTTTCTTGTCTCCTGAGGCGAAAACCGGAATATTAAATTAATATATTGATGAACATTTGTCCAGGCATTTGTCATGTATGTTTATCGTAGCTGTAGCATTACAAGCTCCCCTATCTATGCTTAATTTCCTTAATCTCATTGTTATTTCTTTACATCATGTTTCCTTCTCTTGAGCTATAAATATTTGCATTTATTTATTTGAAATCTATTTGCAGCTATTTGCTTTACATAACTAATACTATGCTTCTTGCCTGCTCACTTGCCATTCAATATTCTCAATGAGAACGTGTCGATTTTAATGGAAATACAAATCACATCTAATATCAAGATAATATTGTGCCATTAATGATATTTTAGGTGTTTATAATAGCTTAATAATTTTGTTTCTGTTACCATTACTTCTCATTCGTATCTTAAAGGCATGAAAATGCATAAAGAACAAACATAATTGACAAATCTTATGATCATTTGCTAAGGCACAACGACAAGTCACGAGTAGATTGCAAAAATAAATAAATGACTTTTCTAGTTGCTTCTTAGTTCTTTTGTTTGTAATTTTTAAAGGTAAAGCCGGTTAAAAAGTTTATAAGATGTTAAAATCTATATAAAGGAAGCCTTTTATGCTTAAAGCGTTGATTGAAATACATTAATTTGGGATTATTATGGCTATAAATGGAATAATTGGGTAAATTTACTGTATTTTTTGTAAATTAGTAAATTGATAGACTAAACTGAATGTTTTTTGGTGCTTTTAGGATAATTGTTTTTGTAGACAGAGTTGCTAAGTTGGGTTAGAAGAAAAATCATTGCTTGTAACGGATAATATTTAAATACTAAGGACGTTTGATTAATAAGTTTGTGCGGGTTTAACTACAAAAAAATGTAAAAGAATTCATAAATGTCTTCAACATCTGCTGGTTCCAATTTGCAAATCTACAAACTCAACAGAATCATGCCAGAACTCGACAAAGCAATCAATTCAAAAATTATTGCAATCATTCGAACTATAGCACGACTTATTTGATGTCCTTACTGGAACTAAAGATTATGTCAATTTTCATGTCATGCCTTACTGTCAAATAGATTGTTATAGATAAATTATATTGCACTTGAAAAAAAGCCGAATGTATGGAAAAAAAAGGTCTAGAACGTGATGATTTTTTTTCTTAAAGTTCAAAGACAATGAAATAGCGATACAGAAAATGAAATGATCTTGCACTTTAAAAATTGATTGAGAAATTGAGCATTTATCATCGATTTTAATTTCAATATCAAGAACGGCCTTAATGTAACCGTGAATAAAAGTGAAGTTCTTCTTAATTTAAAAAAATCGAAATAATAATAGGGTCGAATTATTTGCAACTGAGCCGTATTGCATAATTTGATTTTAATATAATTCAGTTGAAATTTGATCACCTTGCCTTGTGCTGATAGGATATGAAAAATCTCATTTCAGTTATTCCACAAAAGATTTGTAACTTTGATACAATAAATTTAATTTTATGCTTAATAATGGATCTATTATCGACTTTTATTTAATGATAATTAATTTACGTGTATGAATTAATAACAAATTGATTTATCGACGATTGCAATATTCAACACCAATTAAAAACATTTTGTATTTTTGCAGAATGATCAAATAATTATGCACAAAATTGAGTCTGAAAAAACCAAAAAAAAAATCATATTGCATTAAACAGCAAAAAAGATATGAATGACTGTTTATGAGCATGCGAGCTTCTTCAGTATTTTCGCAACTCTTGAATGGAAACTCATGACACCGTGTCATTCAATTACAAACAAAAGTAACAACAAATTGAGATTTTTTTTGTAATTTGTAAGAAAAACTTTAATATAATAATAGAGAAATAAAAATAATCAGTGCGTTTGTCGGTAGTGCTCATTACCTACCTCAACTATTTCATTTTTTACGAAATTCCCTTTTCATGATGTCTAATATAATATTTGTTGTTTAAAAAAATATGTAACAAATTAGTTTTTATGATGTAATGTTAGGGATAAATGGATAATTACGAATTGACTTCTTGGGAGTCATTCAAATGTGATGTTCACTGATAAATTGGGTTTCATTTTTCATAATATACAGCATCATTCAGCTCCTTAAAAATCACCCTTTATTTTGAACGTAATTTTTAAACAGCCCCTAATGCTAAATACTTCACTTCTTTATTACTCTAGTTAAAGACCTCGTTCAGCCTCTTAATGTAATGTTATTTTTTAAAACTTGGTCTATAAAAATGCACTCATGGATGGTTTGAAAGCTGTCCTCGATTTGATGTAAGGTAGAATTAATAAAATTTTACTTTTATTGCTTGATGATGTCATGACACTTTACCGAGCAGCATATGTAATTTTTTTTATGTTCTTGAAATGTTAAGGAAGTCTATTTTCTATGCTCTAACTTAGTTCAAATGTCTCTTCCTGATTTAATAAACTGCATCTTTTCGTATCCTTAACTGTCCCAGACCCTCAAAGACCTTTTGAACCAGAAATTAATCCAACAAGCTCATATAACATGTTCCGCTCGGTATAAGTATGTATCTACTTATTGCTCAATAATTATTTTTTTGCATAAATGTCGGAATTTTTTGTAAATAATGCAATTTTCTATGTGCACTTCATGTCATCATTATTTATTGTATTAATCACTCATTAACATCTTTCAATAACAATAATGCCGTACCATAATAATGCGAGCGACAGTTTGATGAGCATAAATGCACATTGCAATTATTTAGCCACATGTAATTCCCATCAAAGATTTGTAGAAATACATTCGCGCATTAAATACACAAAGAGAAGCAAAAAATAAAATAAAATTGAAGCATTATGCAAGAATAAAATGCAGCAGCGAAGCGTGAAGTTTGCAATTTTAAAAGAAACCAAAAGTAAAAGAGAAGAAAAATGAGTTCAGTAAGATGAAATGGAAATTATTGATCCACACAGACTCTGTCGCAAGAATATTCTCATTTAGTTAACTTTTTAAAGGCATGCAGCTAAAGAGTCCGGTTTAATTAATGTAGTGGTTCGTTTGTGGAATAAATAAACATTACGGACGATTATTGGTAACATTGAAAAGGCATTTGCGAAGCAACTTTAGGAAGATTAGTGCACATTGAGCTGATTTCATTGCGAAAGAATTTTGAATATCAATTGGAACAATTGGACTCCACATTTTTGAGGATTAATTATGACCGTAAAATCAAATCTTGTTATTTTTCACCTCCTTACGACATCTAAAAACAAAAATAATAAACATCATAATTGCATCAACGTGATATTGCCTAATCATAAAAATGCGAATTTCACTTCTTCAAATTTCAACAAAAACATTTATCTTAATAAGCATAACAATATTGTAAAATTGTATTAATCCATAACTTTATCGTTTTCGATTCGACAATAAATTCCAACAGCTTTTCAAGTTATGAAAAAAAAAATAAATAACATAAACAACAGTAGCTCAGTCATG